CTCTCCTACATCTCTCGCCGTTTGTCCTTAAGAAACAAATTATCAGTTAAAATCACTTTCACTGGTGTTTCTGGTATTTTACTTATAAACTGTTTGTTTGCGCAAAACATTTAGCCAACGATAGAGACAATTGTATTGTATATTCTGGTTCTTATGATAACACTATCACTGGCATCGGGAGTAAAACACTGGCCAATGGAACACCTGATCCCCGGTTGGCCACCACTACCCCTCTCGCGACGGCACGTCTGTACACTTTTCTGTAACTCTTAGTATAAAACAACTCTTGTCTTAGAGTTACAAAAAGTCGGACGAGTTGTCGACGAGATTAAGGCAGCGATTAATACATCAAAAACTGTTCAAGGACAATGTCAACCATGGTAGTATTTGGAAAGATGTGTGTTTTAATTAAAAACTTTTAATCGCAATCTTAAACACATGTGTTTTGAGCAAATTATTTATCTATAATAAACATTTATAAATGTTTTACATTCATTAAGTTCTATACTTTAGTTATTTGTAAACTTTGTTTAATTTTCATTAACTTTTACATTAAGTTACATTAAGTTATAACTTATATTTACTGTAAAGTACAGTAAATTAACGTTATATTTATTTATTTTTGTTTGTTTTTCGTGATTAAAAACATTAATTTATTTGCTTTAATAATGTACTAAACTTTTATTTAGAGTCTGTATTAAATCAATTGAATTGCAAAATAATGTATTTGAAGGCCTTTAATATAAGCCTATTTAAATCGCCGCAAACTTACCATAAATGGCATAAATCACAGCCAAATAGATATTATACATGTCTAACACCGGAGAGCGTATCAAATGCCGGGCGGCTGTGGCCTACGGTCTGCATCAGCCGCTAGTGGTGGAGGATATATACGTGGATCCGCCCAAAGACAATGAGATCCGCATTAAGCTCGTGGCCAGCGGTATATGTCGGTCGGATCTGCATATCATTGACTCCAATATATCCAAAGATTTTATATTCCCGTTAATCCTCGGCCACGAAGGCTCCGGCGTTGTGGAGAGTGTCGGTCCCGGAGTGACCGGCGTTGCGGTCGGCGACCACGTGATCCCCCAATGGCTGCCCAACTGTCAGGCGTGCGATCTCTGCAAAAGCGATAAAACAAACTTTTGTGAAACAGGTATTAAAGTTAGTTAATATTAGTTAATTTATTACGAAATTGAATGATACAATAATTAACACATGTATTGAATACTGTTTCTCACAGGAAATAACGGTACACTGAATGTGATGCCCGACGGGACGACCAGATTCTGGACACTCGACGGCAAACCCATATACAAGTCCATCGGTTGCGCCACTCTTAGCGAATATACCGTTATGTCTGTCGAGTCGGTCGCTGTGGTGGACAAGAGGCCCGATTTGGCCGACCTGTGTCTCATCGGGTGTTGTGTAGCCACGGGTTTTGGCAACGCTGTCAATCTGGCCAAAGTGAGCGTCGGGTCGAGTGTTGCCGTCTGGGGGTTGGGCGCTGTCGGGTTGGCCACCGCTATGGGCGCCAAACA